CAGCGGGTCCAACCCCTACGCCCGCAACCGGCCTCCCTTCGGCCCCCAGGGCTACACCCAGCCGGGACCTGGCTACCGGTAAGGAGGTGCCGCCGGACACGGGCGACTGGCACGTACGATTCCATCCCGACAGACTCCAGGATTTTTAAATGAGAATCCGAAACTGTAATGAGGCAAAACCATAGCTGTTAATTAAACTCTGCTGGGGGGAGGGGAACGACCAAAGGAGTCTTTCCTGCTTTAAATTGTATCTGCTTCCTAGTTTAATTTGGGGCCGGGCCGTTTTTGGGAAACACTACCTAAATGTCTGTGAAGTGATCGACACTCTAGCTTGCCTTGTTTGAAGGGTACGAAGATGCTGGTCGGAAGCTTAGCCCACTTATCAGGCTTGTTTTTACTAATACCGTGATGTACTAAATTAGATTCATTCTGGAGGTAAAACTAGACATGATGTATCATAAATTGTAATGCTCACATGGAAAACTAATAAAAACCCTGAATCTATTAAATGCCTGATCCTGATTTTAGAATTTAGCACCGTTTTCTTGTTCGGTATTACCTAAGAGAAGCGTGCGTGCTGGCTGTACGGGTACCGAGGTAAAGATCAGCGGTGCTCGGGTTTGTAGAAGAGACAGATTTTTAGGTGTGTAAATGGCGGAATGTTGCGAATACAGCTTGCTTTTGCAGAGGTTACGCCGCAGTAGATGGTTTTGCACTGTCTGCTGTTAGCAACTGCCAAGTAACCCTTCTACCAAACGAGTAAGAACCGATACATCAAACCTCGGAGCCCCCTACCAATTTCACTTTTGACGAGGGTGGGGGGAGAATCGGTTTGTTGGTTGAAAATGTAAGCCAAATACGTATTTTTAAAAAAGAACTCTTAAAAAGGAACAGCTTTCCACAGGTTCTTTGCCACCCAGAAAAACGTGGGAGTGCAATTCTAGCGACTCGATCTTGAGCCAAGAAAAAGCAGATCAAGAGCTGTAACAAAGTCAATTAGACCATATAACAGCAGAGGGCAAAACGTTCTCCCAGTTAATATTTTCCACCCTAGGGATTCTAGGAATACATAAAACTAAGTAGGGAATAAAAAAAATGAACTGGAGCAAGCTGCTTGAACTCTCATGAAGACAAATTAGGAAATAAAGCGAGCGAAAATATTCCTGCCTTCAGCATCCTTAAACATTGCTGCTCCCAGGTCAGCCGCGCTCTCCAGTAAAAGCCACAGCTGTAACTCCTGCCGTCTGTGCTCTGGCCAGACCGAACGCGTCAGGTGTTCGCCGCGCCGCTGAACACGGGCCTGTTTCAGAACAAACTGCTTCCTGAAATAAGAGCATTTGCCACAGGAACGAATGCGTGTTTTCATGTAAAACACTAAGAAAAACACTTGATTAAAAAATACTTTATTAGGAGTACAGTGTACCTGCAGTGTACTTTATAAGGCATTTTCTATAAAGGGCTATTTCTACTATATATATCTGGGTGTTCCTGTTCATGTTTTCTCAATACATTAGTAATGTAATGAATAACACCTTTAAAAAAAAAACCCCGACATCTCTTTATTTAGTTCATAAATGTTCAAGCAGTACAACAAGTAGCTTTGGGAGAGGTTTTAATCAAAGTTACCGTAAAGCAGTTTTAAAGTTCAGTCACCACTATTTCCCCTTTGTCCCCAATGAACAATGCTTTAAACCACTTTTTTTTTTAAATAAAATAAACCTGATCGTGCTGTTGTAAGTAGCTTATTTTTTCCCCGTTTCATTTGTCTTTCCAAGTCCCCCTGCACTGTAGGTGGGCTTTTGAACCGGCAAGTCTCGGTCTCTGAACACTGCGTCGTCGTGCAAAGCCACAGCAGCGGAGGCCGGTTTCATTCTCTTACCCCGCGTAGGTATGATGTACCTGTCCGCTTTAACCGGAGGAAGCCCAGCCCACCAACCAGCCGCTGCCAAGCTCAGGGGACTGGCTCTGGCTCCCTCGCGGCAGGCTGCACCTACTGGCCTGCTGGAGCTGAAGCATTTGAAAACAAACATGGAAAAAAACCCCACTGACCTGATCGTTTAAAGCTGCACGTATAGCAACCTACCTCAGCTATACGTTTTGGCGGGAGTATGGGCTGTTTGTACACGGAAGGAGAAGGCGGTTCAAGTTTACTGGTTGCAGGATACTAAAAATTGTAGGGGCTTTTCTATAATTTATGACTGGGGAGACACTACAGATCTATCTGGACAGGTAGCTTATGGCACTTGTAAGAAGACCAGTGACTATTTAAAAACTAACGCACGTTGCATTCCATGACCAGCTCTGCCATAACTGTGCCTTAAACATTTATTACAACATTGTGATAAATAATATACACACCGTATCTTTTAAAATACCATATAAACTGTACCTCAAGAATAGGGAGCCAGCTTCCCTATACATTATCCTACAACATGTCCCTAGCCTGTTTGGGATTTTTTTTAATCTAAAAACAAATTTGTAAAACTGGATAACTACAGTAAGCAGCCTACGCTATTACACAATTAATGCAGTATTGGCATTAGACTTGTATAAACCCTCGCACATCAGCAAACGTATTGAAGTGCCAGGCATACCATAAACACTTCCACCTTTGAGCCTGCGTTGGGCAGTCGGACGGGGGCGGTAAGTGCTGGGCCTTTTCACCGAGTTCATGTCGCATCTACCATTTCCCAGGTATTGACGTTCCACACTCGTACCAGCGAACATAGTTAATGTGAGTCTCCCCGCCTATTTTTCCAAATTTGACAGGTTCCTGACGAACTGCCCTGAAAAATCCTGGAAGAGAGAAGAGTCTTGCTTGCGCGAAGCCCTCAGGCAGTACCTTCCGTTGATTTCCCTGTGAAGGCTGTACACAGTTCAGCTAATGGCTAAGCTAGTCACTACGCTGTCAAGCCATCTGCCACAAGCAGGTCTGTTTGCTGCCCCTGCGTACCGGTTGGCGCTCTGAAGCAGCTGGCGTTTGTCCACCCAGCCCAAACAAAAGCAGGAGCGCGTGGCGTTGCCGCAGCCCAGACCAGGAGAGGTGAACCCTGCCTCCCCTTGAGACTCGTGGTCCCAGCACCAGCCCGTGGGTGGTGGCTGGCCGGGCGAGGCCGGTGTCCCCTCCTTCCCCCCCCCTCCGGCTGCTGCTGGGGTCTTCTTTAAACAGGAGGTTGTTCCTCCTTGCAAAGTTACAGTGATTAAGTGGTCCCCGCTGCAGTAGCCTTAACGTTCCAGCGAACCTAAATAAAACTTGGCGGTTGGGGATGTTTCACGCTTATCTCCCCCTCCCCAAGGGAAAGGTCATCCTCCTGCTTTAAATCTGTTCTGTGTGACAATACCCCTGCTTCCCATTCAAACAGTTAACATCAAGTCAAAAATTACCGTGAGCAATCAGTGCTGAATCCAGCCTGATCATCAGAAATGTATGTGTGGCTAAAGCATGCATGTGTGCACACGCACATAAATACTGTTCTGCAACTAATACGCAACAGCAGTCACGATGCCATCCCTGCACTTCAGGTCAAATATACGTGGTTAATTCCGGTTTGAACAGAACTGAACTTGCTGAGCAGCAATGGACAGTCTGTTCTTTCCTCTGTTCAGTTCACTTACTAGAAATAGAAGCTACAGAAAGGTGGGGGCTTTTTCTGTTTGATTGTTTTGTTGGTTTTTTTTTTGTTTTTGTTTTTCTAACAAGGAATGTAGCTCATGAATCCACTCAGTTAAAGCCAGTCGCTGAAAACAAATCGGTTTTAGCTGTCTTTTAAGCTGGGGTGGCAAGCTTTTTATGTAAAAGGTGTGGGGTTTTTTTATTTTTAAAATCTTTTTTAAAAAGTGAATCTGGTACACCTGAGAGGTCTGCTGTCCTGGCAACGCGAAATTGGATTCAGACAATCCCTTACACAAACAAAATACCATTACAAATGGACAACGCTGACCGGGAAAGGAAAAGCAAAGCTCTCTTTAAAGAAAAAAAAATAATCACATAAGCAAACACCTTTCAGATCGTTCACCTACTTTGTTTTCAGAGAAACTTGTGAAAGATTTAGGCACTTCACTTTAATCTCCCACACCTACCTCACTCACTGCATTTCTGTACTTCTGTACAGTGTTTTGCAAATGAAGCGCTACAGCCAGGAAGGTTTGGTCAACACACTGAAATTGTACTGAAAACCGTTTTGGTATTTTTCTCGGTAAAATATTCCATGACACACTCAGCATGCCCGCGTGTACCAATACAGCCTGCCTTCTTACCCCACAAGGGAAAGGAATACCTCACACTGGCACTGCCGCCAACAGCCGAGGCAGGAGTTCAGCCGACAGAAGTACAATTTTCTTATGCTCGAGCCTCAGCAACATGTGAAAAATAGTCAGGCAGGTCACAGCTGCATTTAGGACATCCAGTCCCATGCCCACTTAGGCCAGACTGGAATTCTAGGCACCCGGTTCAAATAAGTGCACACAGAATTACTGCAGCATGAATTATATTTTCCAGTAATAAGTTTTTAGTTTCTCATTAGCGCTAAACAAAGCTGTTTAATGCCCAACGGATGATTTACTGCACTTTAAATCAACCTTGCTAGTTTGAACGTAACACTTCGTGCCTCTCTGCAAACTCAAATCTGTGGTTGGGTTTAAAAATGTAATACCAACCGTGAATAATCTGTTGGAATGATTTAAACAGGAGAGAGGCTGTTTACTGCCCAACAGAACCCGAGTCATAACCTTCTTGTAAGAAGTCATTGCTCATCTTCAAAAACTTCTCGACTCTTTTCTGCCTGCAGCCGGCAGTCCCTTTCCATCGCCCACCTCAGCAGTGGGCGCTGAATCCACTGGCAGGAAAAAGAAACACACAAACAAAGGAATTGCCGAGGTTTGCTACAGAGACAGGCGTAAGGAATTACCATCTTTGACTGGTAGATCTTCTTGCTGTCCTGTCCTTCCATCTAAGAATGAGTCTACAAATTGGCAGTGATCTTCTCCGTGGCCCCTCTGGTCTCCTATGTTATAAAATTTTCCTGAAAGCAAAGAAGCGGCAAAGTTGAAAATCCATACCCAGTTTAGTGAGGGCTATTGCCAAAATCCACCAGAGGCAACGGGCAACGCTCTTCGCTCTGTGGGGAAGCCAAGGTGAATGCTACGATTCTTTTCCTCTCAGGACCCCTAGCTGTAACTTGAACATTATGTGCATACTCCAAGTACAGGGCTCATGGCTGTAGACAAAAGTGCCCCATTCCTGGCCAAAATCCATGCCTCGATGTATTTTTTTTCTCCTCCCTACATTTCATACAGTAACTGAAATTCTGTTCTTACCTAGACCCTCACCCTGACGGTATCAAACACGAGGTAAGTTTTGCCAGTGATTTGAACGGAAGGCAGGTTTGGTTCCCTGTCAGGAACCCCCCAGTACCTTCAAAGACATTTTTATAGACCACCTCGTAACACAGCCAAGGCCTGTTTTATAAATCATCATCTTTTTACAACATGTATGTGCAAGTGATATCCTTTAACAAATAGATGACCTCGGTATAGTAACTGCTTATCCAGAGCATGAAGTGTGCCCGTGTGTTTATTTGCAGGATTGCTTAACAGGACACTTTTCTGCAACTGAGTAGAAAACAAGGTCTCAAGTGCCCGACGCAGCGTGAGCTGACGTTACGGGCTGTGCTCGTTCTGTTAACAAGAGGACTCGCAGTGAAGGAGCTTTGACAGAGAGATGTTTTTACTTACTGATTTGATTTGCAAGCCATTAGTAAAATTCGGTTCAGAAGATGGAGAAAAGCATGCTACGTTCTCTTCCCGAGCCTTGGCAGGAAACTTTCAGATAAACTTACTGTTTTTTCTAAACTCCTTTCACAGCACTTGTTCTTAACATGTTCAACCTTTGGTTGTGAGGTTGAAAGGAAAGGTGAGAACATTTAGAAATAGGCTCAGTACTCGGGTATAAGCCAAGCGGAAAGTCCAGTTACTCATTAGATGTTGGGTGTCCTGTAGCCTTGCATCTGTGCCAGTCTGGCCATTTGAGAGATGGTGAGGTGGCTTATAATACTGCTCCCGAAAGTGCAATTAATAGAAGAGCAGCCTACCAATAAACTCTCTCATATTTTTGTGATCTGATCAATACTCACCAAAAATTCTCACCTCCACTTGACAGTCTCTGTGCATGCAGTTCTTCTCTAGCTTTAGAAAATTATTTATTACTATCTAGTTTTGGCTTGCAGGCATGTTTTTTCCATAAGGAGAACTGGTCAGAGGGAGTTCCTCTCAGCAATTTTTTTGTCTGAAATTAAGAACATTGAGGCTGCCCAAAACAGCATTTTTTTTTTTTCCATGGCTGTTGAAGGTCACACTTAGAATTTTTTTTTTTCCTCCCCTCAATAAATACTTATTTTTAGGTAGCCTGCTTGTCTGGAATGCCTACAGTGACTGCTCTGGAGGACTGTTAAATGAGGTCAGCAGTAGATGCTGGTTTATAGAACAGTCCTGGCATGTGTAACGTAGATCAGTTTTTCTTCATGAGAGACAGAATGACAGAGATATTTTTATGTTTTTATGGCTAACAGTAACTTTCCGATACACACATACTCCTCTGGCCCACAGCATAACCTACGCATAATTCAGACAATCGCTATACATAAACTAGCAGCATTCTCAGTGACTATTAAATTCTTACTGCCCGATTCTTTCCATAAGAAAGGAGCACGCTTAAAAACATTTAGCTAACAAATGACTAGATCAATCTTTCTCTTTTGGGGATAGCAAGTCTAGCATAAAGTAAATTATTTTTCTTCCCAGTGTTCCCTTATGGGTGGTCTTCAGAAAATTAGATACCATCTTTGTTTCACACATTGTGAATTCTGCAACGCTAGCAGTATAAATTCATGCTAAAGACCAGCATGCGAAGATACAGTTGTTGGCTGCCTAATACAACAGCATCTGTACAATGCACCCAAATTTCAAGATCATTACGCTGCTTAAACATGCTTCGGAAGATGTTTTCTCTGTAAGGTGGAACTCGGACCTCAGCGCAGCCCTTCACTACCGGCACACGTCGCCCAGCTGGCTGGTGCTAGCAGATACACTTCCACTGGCCTCGGGGCCACGATGAGACAAGGCGTGACAGTGAAACACATCAGAACGGCGTTTGGCTTCAAATTGGAAGCCTTCTCACTCTCATATAGAGGCCCGCGCCATGACAGTCTCGCTTCGGAAACGGGGGAAAAGCAGCTTTGCGTCTACATAAATATTTCAGTTCTTCCAAATATTGTGACAACTGGTCAGCACCGGTTCTAACAATTCAAGTGCAAGAACCAGGCTTAGCAAGTATAATGAATACAATGTGGCTACCATCATCTTTCTCCAGCCAAGTTAAATCACCGCCCTTCCAGCAAGAACGAAAACAATCTAATGAAAATAGGAAAATGGGCTCCTGATATATTAAACTTTTCTTCTAAGATTGAAGTAGCTTTCACTGCAGTGTTAATTCACTTGATTTAGGGCTGAAGTCTAGTCCTGCTAGATTAGCACTGCTATTTCCTCTGCTGGCTGGTTTTGTGATACCCTATGCCTCGTTGCCAGTGTTTGTCATTTGATCACAGCTGGCTAGTACAGCAGCAGTTGAATGAATGATACCTCTGTTCAAAATAGCCTCTTCTATTCACGTAATTGCCAAGGTATTATTTACGTATGAGGTATTGTACTTACTACTGACGACAGGGCTTTCCTTCCTTGTCTGCTCATGGGAGAATGGTGCCGGGTGCAAGGCCGGGCAGCTTAAAATTATGTCGGCATGGGCTGCCCTACGCTCCCCTGCTCTTTTCTTCCCACGTTCCTACCTACAGAGACCAGAGCCCTGCTCCTGCGAGGTGCCGAGCTCTGAGATGGGGCAACTTTGGGTTATGAAAGTTGATTCTTTCAGCCACAGTTTCTCCTAGTTAAGTCAATCCAATGGGACGAACATACTGCCTAACTTGCACTCAAAAGACATTTCCCATACACAGTTGTATCATACTCTTTGTGCTCTGGATGCCATACTAACGCCATGGTGATAGAGTTGTCCATGCAACTCTGATAAAAGACCTCATACAGAAGAAAGCCAGGAGCTTGGGATGGATTATAAGAAGATAGTGTATTTCTAAATATAGCTTGTACAATCTACATGAGACACAAGGTTCTGCTTAACTATCAGGTAACTGAAAAACACTTTTTACAGGCTGTTTCCCCAGCTTACACACAGCATATGTCACTTGATTCAGGTCTTAAATACATCACACTCTAGTGACCTTAAGATACTGAACAAAACTCGAGAAGATAAGGCCAGGAGGCTGCTGTTAGCAATAAAACTTAATACAAAAAACAGAAGAGGGGGGAAGAGATTATAAGCAAGAATGGGGAATGTGAAAACAAAACAAAAATGTCAAAGCAGGTGAGTAAAACCTGTTGGCTAGAGTTGAAGTCATGTGTTTATAAGCCTCACCGTAACGAAGCAACCAGATGTTTACCAAATGGGATGGGAATGACTGAGTCTAATCCTGGTCTAAAATTAGGTCCTAATCCTCTGATTAGAGAATTATTCCAGTCTATCCTTTAAATGCAAATTTGGCACTGTTACAATATATGCTATTCGCTGGCAGAGACCTGAACTTTATAAATTTTCTGTATGACTCTCAGGATACTAACAAGTACTTAAAATCAGATGATCACCACAGGGAAGTAACTCTTGAGTCTGAAAATTCAGTATCAAACACATCAATGATTACTGAGCACAAGCAGATTACTGTTTATGATTAATCTCTCTATGGACTGGATTAAACATACCTGATCACACTTCAACAGAGCTCGTCTTGTTAAAACTCTTAGTTCTGGAATGTCTCTTACCTGTAAGTGAATCACTGAGGTATATCTTGTATCTCAAAGAATTACACAGCTGCACACCTACGAACTTCTTATACCAAGTCCTCTTTACATATTGTTTCCCTTTGCATTCTGAATAGGTGTCCGAATTGAATGGGATTTCAGTCCAGATAGCGTCCTTTCCCACTGCAGGAGAGGAAGAAAGAGACTGAAGTATGATGCTGCATACAAAATTATGTACAACAAATATATTCAAATAAATAGAATTAGAAACCTTGATGGAGCAGAATGCACCATGGCACCAGTCGCCTGCATTTTGACTGTGAAAGAGATTTCAGGGAAGCACCGAAGGTTGCAGATATAATTGATGCAGTGAACTGCTTCTGCTCTCTGTGTGTGGTGCCAGTTTGGACTAAGCTCATTCTCGGACCTTTTTAGGGGGACAATTTATCTGTGTGTGGGCCATACTCTCGTTTACAACATGTGTGATACAGTCACTGTTTTACAGTGGGTTCAAGCCAGGACAGTCGACTCGAGCAAACTGTATGTGATTTAACAAAAATACACATAAAAATCGTCATGAATTATGTGGAAAGAAATGGTGTCTCAGTGTTTGTCAGTCATGTCCATTGCAAATGCAAAAAGCAGCCCAATTTGCTTGAGCAATCTCAGCTGTTCTTCAAAAGCTCAGTCCACTTCCCACCAAAGACAGCAAGAGTCTTTTAAGTGGCCTAAAACAGAGCTGGATCGAGCCTTCAGGAGCAGAAAGTTTTTCTACAACACAATGGCAGATAAATGGTATCCTCCGACTTGTGCTCTGTTAACTCACTTAAGAAGTGTGGAGTAGCTTATTCATTTTACAGAGCTTTCTTTTGCTTCAATGACAAGGCCGAGAAAATATGAGGCTGTCCTTGGCTCATTTGTGTACATTGGTCTGAAGCCATCCCAGCTGCCATGGGAGCACCACATCACGTTGATTGCGTTCCGCTCAGGTAAACAAGCAGCCTGGCATGAATTCCTTACCAGGGGTATGGGTGGAAGGAGTGAAATCATGTGTGGATGCTGTTTGATTCCATAACTCATTTAGTTGGTGCAGTACAGCCACCCTCCTTGTAAAATTATGCTATCCCATCTCTGAAAAAAAATCCTGATCAGAAGACACTATACTATACATAAAAGGCTTACCTGAAATTGGCTCACTCACTCTTGGGTCCGCTGGGGGAAGAAAACAAACATTCAATCAGACACTGTAAAATGAACTTGCCCAATATTTCAATGGAAAAGCATTGGTAAGTGATTTTCTACAGTTGACATAAGCTGTAATTTGTGAAACAGAAAGAGTTTTGGAAGCAAAGTTCACTTTTGTATTAAATTAAATTAAAAGAAATATATTTCTTATGTGCAACTGCAGTACCAATGAGCTTTTAAAAATTTTACTTATGGGCCAATACCTGTCAAACACAGTTCTAGTAAAAACAAGAGTTTAAACCTGTAACCAGCAAACCCCAGTTCTACTGCATCTTTTTAAAAATTTCAATTTCAAAACTTAAATAATAAAAAGGACCCCTCTGTAATACTTGCCACACAAAACTTGGCAATGAAAGCCCAAAAGTGAGAAATGGATGTGTGCAATTAAGAAAAAATAAAATTGACCGCCTAGTCCAAGCTAAATAGGACACAGAACATAAGCCTTGTCATTCATGAAAACTGCACTTGGCATAAATATTTTTTCAGTTTTAACAATCTAGGATTACAAAGAGTGTATTCACAGTTTTTAAATATGTGTGGCATAGCCTGAACTCCTCCCTGACTAATCCCTCGCTCAGCCAAAACTCTCATCCATCAGTGACAGCACTTAGATGAGGACTATTCTATTATTACATCTGGCTGAAAACGCAGATTGAGAAAGTCCTTTTAAAAACGCTAAATCCATTTTGTGTTTTATATGGTCCCTAAGTACGATCAAGCAATAAACACTTCTACACAAAAGATGGTGTCTTGCTTGTATAAAGTCAACAAGTCAGCTGTAGTTAGTCTCATGGGGAACTGGAATAGGGAAAGCAGAGGCACTCTGATTCTCACCTCTGAGTCAGATAGGACTTGGGAACCGATCAATAGTCAAAATAGGCTTGTATACACCTCTCTGACAGTTTCACAGGAGAGTAAACAGGATGGAAGAGGACACACTGGGACATCGACTTTTCCCAACTGCTATTTCTCAATCCTTATTTCAGCCAAAAGACATCGCTATTATACAGCAGCCTTATTGAACAGGTAGCAAAAGTGCCTATAAACACACCAGCCCAAAGAAAAAACCTCATGTTCCCCATCCAGAAGTCATTAATGAGTTTGAGAGATACAAAAAGGTCAGGAATATTAATCTTAAATGACTGAGCCTTCTCTAAGGATACAGTTAGTTTCTTCATCGTGAACACCAGATCAACTCTCTGTGCTCCTGTTCTTTTCTCCTGCAGTCTGGCCATCTTACATCCTCACACAACATAGCCCTGATCTCAGGCTGAGCTTCCAGGCACTACCGTAACATGCTCAGCAGTAAAAAGCCAATCTGGAGACAGTAAAGAGCAAGACCAAACGCACAAAAAGAAGCAAGAGATCCTTTCATACATCCTACAAACATGGATACTAGAGCCACTGTAAATGATGGTCGGACCTTTGGAAGTTCTTACCTGATTCAGTACTGAATGCCACAACATTGCTACTTGGACCTTCACCAAGAGGGTTTCTAGGTTTCACGTGGAATTCATAACTGGGGAATAAAATAGAAGAGATGAAAGTTTTGCAAACCAAGGATTCTTGCAGAGTATGGAGCAAGCAAACTGCCAACACACACCTCGGTGCTACTCGCCTCCTGGAGAAGAACAAAAAGGCCTCATTTCTTGCTCTGAAAACACTGAGACATTCTTAGTCCTAACTGCATAAGGCCTCTCTGAACACATAATTTACCAGTCCTTTTGATGATTCTTTGCACACATACTATTAATGTTTGATTTAATGCACCACTGGTTTAAGCCTGTCTCCTCTCACACATGCAGTTTCAGTTCTGGCAAAGGGAGTGGTTCAGGTGAGGTCAGAAGCAATCTGATTGCTTATCAGAGATTGAGTAAAGCACATTGCTATTTATTTGCACATTTTTCATTCATAAGAACACAAACCTCCAATTCAATGCCTCTCAGGCCCACCAACAGCGACAGACAGGGCCAGTGGTGAAACACAGGGCATGTCTTCCAGGACAGGAGCTCAGCCAAGGCAAAGATCCAATTGCTTGAATATATGTTAATAGTAAATATATGAAGTGGTGAAAAGATATTGTGCAGCGTCTCTTTCTTATCGTTTCATAGTAATGTTGCACAACACCAGTCTGTATTGTAGTTATCTCCTGATCCCTCTTCATCACAGCTGTGTTGGGAACCAAACACCATGCTATGAAAACGGAACAAGATTGAAGGAAAAAATCCAAGCCAGGCTCCTCTGCTTAGGCCTCTCCCACCCCTCAGTACTTGACTAACAGTGATGGACAGGCAAGACAAGGTGATTTCTAACTCTGCAGCTCAGCCGAAACTTATACTTTCAATTAGAAGCTCTAGGCAAACAGCTATTGAAAGACAGTTGCAAACCTAAAAATGTTACACAGAAGACACCAGACGGATGAGGCAGGAAAGAGAGTTACAAGGGTGGACGCTGGACACAGCTAGGATCTTACATCAAGGGCCGAGCTAGGAACAGACTCTCTATTTCCTTCCTCCCAGCACACACTATCCCAGCAAGCCACTTCCCAGCTCTCCTGGCCCCAGGCTGGCAGCACCTGGGAATTTCTCACTGCTCAGCAATGGCTCAGTGCCTCCCTGTAGGACCTGCATGCCCTCCATGCCAAAGCACCCTGATGAGTAGTGTGTATACAACCAGTCAACAGCACGCTCTTCATGCCTTCCCCACGAGCTATAGGCAATAATCTGTCCCACGCGTGCCACCTACAGAGAGACTTTTCATATGCTTTGAGTGTATATATGGTGAATGTCTCTTAACACAGAGCGTTTTTTCATCAGCGAGAGAGATCCATAGGGCACGAGTCAAAAGGACTGTAGGCCTGGAAAATGGGCCCTAACTTAGAGACTAAACACAGAGCAAAATGAGAATCCCAGAAGTGGGCAATTAAACATCCAGCTCTTGACTCGTGAAGGATCACTTACCAATGATAACTTGGTAGCTCATGACTATAACATAGCGTTGTAATGTATGGCTGAAATTGTTTCCAAACAGCAATTTTCTGAAGAAAAAAACATACCACACTCTGCACGGTTGGAAATTTGTAAACTTCATTTGCAAGTCCCTACAAGAGACAGAATAATTCAATCCAAACTTTGGATTACCTCTCATTGCTTCTTGGCTCCTGCAAAACCTGAACAGCTCGCTAATTAACCTCAGTGGACTAATCATGCAGTACCAAGCAACTGTTTTCCATCCACAGTACTTCTAGGACAATATTTAACTTTGAAATTGCTTACATAAGCAATTGCCTTTATTTCTAGGGTTTTCTTTCCTTTTTTAAGCAAAATACTTACAAAGATTGGTATGCTGAACAGATGCATTGTGGATAATTCGTGGATATTTCTAAGTGAAACATGGGCTTGTTTTGAGCTCTGAAAAGTCTATTTGGAGTAATCTTAACATTTATTCAAACATGCTGCAAGACCATTTTGAGCAACTGACATTACCCTACTGTAGGAGGGAGACATTAAATAAATAATAAATTAAATAGTAAGTTCTAGACACAAAATCTTCTTCACGATCAACTTCAAATTGTTTAAACAAATACATGCTTTTAAAAATTGGATCTGAGCAGTTAATGTTCACACTGGGCATGTGGTACAGTAACTTTTTTGGTCAAGAAGTATTCTCATCTGGTGGGAAAGGTCGTTATCCAGAGAACTGTAGCAGAGCAGTTGGAGATTCCTTCTGAAGAATCACTGAAGCATAAATGAAGATTTGCTCGTACATTGGGTTTTTTTAAAGTAATAGCTAGAAGATACATTTTGGACAATGTACAAATTAATGCATGCCTAGAGATAAAAGACTCCAAAGAAGTTTTCCTGCTTCCTTCACAGCAGGAACACCTTATCTAGAGCTATTGTAATTTTGATCATTGATAGCTCAACATGGTATGTTCCATTGCTTTACTGGGAGTTTATGGTTTGACCTTATGGATGATAATAATCTGTTTATGTCCCTTTGTATGAAATCAAAAGGGAAATATGAAGAGCACTGCTTAGGATTCCTGACCTAGAGTTTTTTTGATTCCATAGGATTGGCTACAAGGAAAGGACAAAAACTGAGTAGGTGAAATGCTCTTACGGAACTGGACTGGGCAGCCACAGGGACTCGGAAAGTAATGACGCAGCCAAGTGTGAACTGAAGATAAAGGTCTACAGTCAGCATATCTGGATCTCACCTGAATATGTAAGGGTTTCACAGATTTTGCAAGCTGGATTTACATGCCTCTGTCAGGCAGAAAATTACAAGCTGGACAAGGTGGTGGAGAATTTTGAAATAAATTTAAGTATTTTCCTGATTTTTGTACAAATATATTGTCCCCAAGAGCTGCTATGCCCTACTTTGAGTTGCATCAGGCAACATTCTTCATAGGAAACAGTCCTGTTCCGAAAATACTTAAGTCAATTAACTTGGACCCATCAATTCTCTAACTCCATAAAAAGACCAAAACAAGAACTGAAGACTAAATATTTTCCAAGCAGTGTTTTTCAAATTGTGGTCTAGGGACCACTAGGATCTCTGCAAAAGATCAAACCACAGTTGGGAAAATTATGGCAAGATTGAAATAAAGAACAAAAGTCTATGCATAGAGATTTCAGCTCATGTAAACTTATAAACAATATTGGACAAAAGGACAGTAGTAAAGAAATGTTCAAAGTTTAGCTTAGTCAATTAGGGGAGCCTCCTATTAATAATGTTAAAGAGCAGATTTTAAAAACTAAAATATATACAATTCTACAGTTTTGTGGTAGGTGTTTTTACAGGTGCCCAAGCACCACAGGCTCCTTTCCTCTGCCAAATTCAATCCTGAAACAGTAACAGTGCTGCAATAGTACAAGAACAACAAACAACCACTTTCGGAGATGAAGAGAAGTAACTAGTTGACTGAAAACTGAAAGGGAGAGAAAGGAAAATTTAGACTGAGCTCACGATTTGATAGAGTTTACAGATCTAACTGTAATTTTAAAGCCATGGTGTGGCTCTCTTCATAGAAAACCATTTAAAGTCTCCCTTTTTGTGTGTCAGGTGAAAGATCTGAAAAATAAAAATAAAATGGTGAAAAAAAAGGTACCTGCTGCGATCTTATGCACTTCTATACGAACCCAAGGGAGGAGAAAAAATGCTTAGAGGTTCAAGACAGTATGTAGGGCAAAGTTAATAAAGGGAAATAGGAAAGTTATATAATGATTAGCCCATGTCCACCTCTTAGCTAGACTTATTCATGAGAAACTGGAGTCTATATTCCGTCTTTATATCTGTGTGCCTATGATGCCAAAAACTCTGTTACCCAATATATGCAGCAATCTTAACATGTGTCACATCTCTAAGATCTTAAGATTGCTATCCTACAAACTTTGGAGACTAGGCCTCCCAAATCCTCCCAAACTGCATAAGACCATCAAAGTCCTTGTGCAGATTAAATGGACTTGACTTACAGTAATTACTGTGCAGAGCATATTTTTCCACCATAGGAAATCGCTATTCCACATGGAACTTTGGCAGAGGCAGCTCCTGCATTCTTCAAATCATGCAAAAGGAGAAGATTGAAGATTGCAGAACTGAAAATAGGTGAAGAGAGATTTTCACCACAATAGAAGGACTGGAGCAGCTGAGTACTGCCCTGGGACTTCAGGTCAATTGCTGGGGAGATGCTGGTGGTTAGATGACAATCATGCAGGACTGTCTCAATGTACAGAGCTTCTCTGTCTCTGCAGAGTGTGGTTGGATAGCAGTATGGTCAGACATAGCAAATAAAACTAGGTTTAAGAGATAGAAACGAAAAAAGAAAGAAAGAAAAAAAAGTGCTGGGCTTGTTTGAGGAGTCTTTCTCCTAATCAGGTTGGAAGAAGGGCTGAGAGAAATGGGAAATGCTTACCCATGAACCCTGACATCAACAGCTATTTAGTACAAAAATCTGTTACTTTTGTAATAAAGAGTACAAAAAACTCCAGCATTTTTCTGCCACTTTCTGCATTTTTCTGCATTGCAACTTTCACTGTAGTTCTCATCTCTTCACCCTTGCTGTTAACAAAAGCTAAGCTCTTTGCATTGGTAGATTTTTTTTCTTGTATGCGATTAGCATATTTTGGATGCTAACTGCTGGTGGGACACATCCTTTAATGGCTACCTGAACTTCCCCAGAGCTATTTGGCACATCTCTGACTGCAGTCTTACTACCTTCCAATTACTGCCAACACAGACATGCATGAGAACTGTTTTCAACAATGTTCTGTCTCTTTTTTGAAGGCTTGTATAGAAATTAGTGCTGCAAAGTTTCCTGGACACTAGTGGTATGTGCTATGAACTTAATTGACCTTAAACAAACCACCAGAATGAAAGAGGAAATGTACACCTAATAAAAAAAAAATATTTCAAGATAGGGCAGGGATACAGAAATAAGAACTACATATTTTGGCAGAGAAACCAGCAGAAATAGCAGAAAAAGTCAAAATGATACTATATCAGATGACTGGAAGA